TTTTCGTACACCTGACTAACATTAGAACTACTGGCCTGCAATGTGCACCTAAATATAGTCCATACCTGAATAGTTGAAGCGGTATAATAAAACTGTATCTCTATCTATGGATATTTATGATTACGAGGAGCAGAAAATATAAAACCAGTCATTTCGAGCAATTTAGCAGTTCTAATATTAAACCACCTGTTACGTAGAATTAACCAAGTATGACTCAAAAAATTCGCATCCGCATTCGCAAATACGAATGAAATCGTATTATGAAATTCGTAATATCACGGTTAGAATTGTTGAAGCATGTCCGCCTGGCAATAATTGAAGCTCGCAGAATCGATAGTCCCGATCGACCTACACACACGCGTATGCACATACAATGATTACAGCATTAATTCGGAGCGTTACACGCGACGAATATCTGCTATGAAAATCACGATTATGTCTTACAAGCACCGCACCGTCATTCTCCTATCCCTCTTACACGCGTTCGTCAAAAACAGGTCATCCTAACATTTCTCCAGCGGATAAAGGCCAAGAAGAAGCGTGTTTAGACGATTTCAATGGACAAATATGACATGGCGAAAAATTTCGTCTCATTTTTCCTCGTTGCTGCTGAGTCATTGATATTTTTCAGCGAATAACGAATAGTTTAGTGTGCCTTTGTATACCTTGTGTCATACTATATGAAAAGTATGTTAAAATGAAAGTAAAATAAAGAATTATTAATAATTCCCATTTCCTATTATTTTAAATGGAAATCTGATTATCTCTACGATCTTGACTAAAGAGAGGTAAGGATAGAACAAAATTAAGTAGAATTTATGAAACGATGAAACAAAGTTTAATTTATCTACGCTTGCAATTCGAAGAATATATTTATTTTAGTAACTAATACCACTCTAAATTCGATAAAAGCGGGTTTAATGGTATTTATTCGCCGAAATAAATTTTCCACGTTCAAAAACCGAATCGGAAACACGAAACAAATGAAGCGAAATGCTTTCTCTATTATTCAGAAACGACACCACGAAACTGGAATTTCGTTTCTATGGTACGACACTGATACAAGTGCGAAATAAAATTGCAATAAAATAGAAAGAGGATTACTCTAGTCATCTCTTAATATTAGCGACGTGAATTTCACTGCACGCTGCGTGTGACGCGTTAACGTCATCAAGAGCGATGATTACGGGTGAAAAAGTGGAACCGCGCACCGTGCGTTGAAGTCATCAACAGCACTGACTTTACAGCGAAAAGTGGGAATTGAATTCGCAGGCACGCAGAGCGAACAGCACAACGTGGACTTTCGAAACAATCGATAAGAGCCGCCTTAAGAATTCTCTGGCCACGTACGTCACGCACCTTTCCACGAACGATAAACCTGAAACGAGCGTGCCGTTCAAGTTCGACGAAATCCGCGACAGTGAAACCTGCCAGAACGTGAGGTGGAAGCGAGTGTTGCTCACCGAGAAGTACCCGGAAAATCCGCTCCGTTTTAGCAACGATGACTCCGCGTTCGTCACCGATTCCACTCAGCGAATCGATGCTCCAGGTTCGACGAAAACTTTTATCATCTGAGTTTTCGACAATTCTGTGACAACTGTAAGCAGTGAGTCCGATGTCCTACATTTCAGAAGCTCGGAAATTAATTGGAAAATTAATTTCAGAGCTACGTCCACCGATTAGGAATTGCGAAGAATTTCTAGTAACTTTGACTAGGAATAAATTTTGAAGAAATATTCGAATCTTGAAAAATGGGTGATTTTAGACGATGTTCTAGAGATGTCTAAAGAATAGTAAATAACGAATCGATGTCCTAATTTTCAATAATTTTGAAATTAATTTTCCAACTGTCCACCGATTAGGAATTGCGATGAATTTCTAGTAACTTTGACTGGGAATAAATTTTGATGAAATATTCGAATCTTCAAAAATGGGTGATTTTAGACGATGTTCTAGAGATGTCTAAAGAATAGTATATAACGATTCGATGTCCTAAATTTCAGTAATTTTGAAATTAATTTCCGAGCTTTCCACCGATTAGGAATCCTAGTGAATTCCTTTCTCCTAGTAATTTTGATTGATGATAAATTTTTGCGAGCTAGTCTAATCAGAAAATGACCGAATCCACTCGATGCTCCAGGGATTTCTATTAATTTTAGGCCTCCAATTTTTCCATGCCGTGAAAGAGTGGGCGATTTTAATTAAATTTTAGTCCCTCGGGTTAACAACGAATTTTAATAAAGTATTCTGCTCTATGTGCTCCTGTATCTTTTTGGAGTAACCAAGTTCGTCGATATTCCGATCAGCTGAAAAGTTTCTATCAGTTCCTTTATTCCGGATTTCTCTAATTTATTGGTGAATAAATAATCGTGCTTGGCAAATGCGATGTTCCATATCGGTCAAGGGTTTTGGTCACAGAGTCGTACGAGACTTTTATTGTTTCGAGCTAAGTAACGATTGGAAATGGGTTCATACAGGCGATCGATGCCAATCGAGCCAATGATCGCGAGCAGCAGTGATTGTTGGCTGCGATTTCGCTTTTCTAATTGGAGCGGAATCCCGAGAAGAGAAGCGTTTGCTAACAGGGTGATGATACTGTTGATGGAATTAATGGTATTGGTATGTGTGGTTGCGGTTAAACCGGAATACACCTGTATTGTTTTCCACTGATCTAGAATATTCGATTGCTTCGGACAATGGACGTAAATAAAATGTAGGTAGCTATTATTAGACTGGTATTATAGGTAGGAAGTATATTAGGATGATTATCTACAGATCGTCGAATAATTTTGCGAAATTGCTACCATCAAAGGGAACATAGTCGAAATAATATATAAATTTTTTTTTTGTTTAACCTAATCGAAAATTAAAAATAATCGACTTCAAACCTAACCATCGTATCCCTATTAGGTATACATTACGTTATATTTATAACGAAAGAGAAAATATTCTAATTTTTTAGAGATAATAATAATAAAAATAATAATCTAATAATTTTTTAGAAAAACTTTTGGAAGATATGAGAAAATGAGGGAGAAAATATTGAAATACCCTGATCCAACGTATGTTAATTATAACGGTAACGTGGATAACTGCATTACCATTATGATATTCATCATTGCGAATTAAAATGAATTATTCGAAGCAGGTACAGTGATATAAATAATATCAGTAAAAATTAACAAACTCGACGGTATTAAACGTAACCGTGCTTGGATAACAGCTATCGTAAAGGGATAATAAAAGACCAATTCCGAGAAAAATGTCTACCATGTTTAATCAAGGAAACATTTGCTTCATAGAAAGACGCCTTAAATAACTTTATTCCGGCTAAAAGGTGAGATAACTTCCTTTTTTCCCAATATTCTGTAACCGAAAGTCCCTTTCATTACATGTTAGTATACGTAGTACACATTCAAAGCTATTGTCTGCTCAATGCCATTCTCTATCTTTCCATCGTCTTCCTATTCTTGCAAAAAGTTGCGTACGTTTGCCGTGAAACGCTTGTTTACTTTTACACCAATGCGAACAGGTATCTGAAACCATAACAACTTGTTTCTCAAGCGACCAAGGTTTCTCGATCGTTCCAACCGTACCCTTGACGATATATTTTTATTTTTCCTATTTTCGTGTACCTTCACCGTCCCTATATTTTTCTCGATAATTATTAACCTAAAGCTTGTTTAAAAATTACTCCGAGCCCCGAAATTATCGAATTAAAATACATTCGATTTTTATTAAAACAAAATTCTCTTTAATTTCAATTTCGAAATTAAAATTTATTTTTAATTCTCCGAACGAAGATTACTTCGTCTCGCATGTAAATAATACGTCGAGTCTATACCAAGAACAATAAATAATAAACATGGCGGCTGAAAAATTATTGACCGGCACGACAACGTTGTCGCTACGTAATCGCCTATGAAAACGAAGCAATAATATCTCTGCCTATAACGCTCCAGCTCGATAACCGTTTTAATCAAATATCGTCCGATATCATACCATTTAACCTCAACAGAAATTGTAACAAGTCGCGAGAAACGCAGTTCTAAGTACATTTTATCAAACAAATATCTCTTAGCCGGGCAAGAAATTCGAAACACGTTTGCGATACGCCATTACGCATAGCTGACACACGATGGGATCGCGAGTTCAAAATAATCGACTGGAATTCGATTAATCGATACTCGTGACATTATCGATGGACTAACCTGTCGTCCGATGCTAATTACCACTGACGTTTATTACACTGGGAGGGACCGTGGACGTGAGCGTGTAATATTGACACAACGTGATGCGACATAAGAAACTTTCTGTTCCCACAAGACTAGTATGTTCTTGAACCGGCAACTACGAACCGCAAATATTTGTCTTTTCCACGCCATCTTGACAGGAGTGGCGCGCTGCTCCAACACTACGACACGATACTGTTATAATAAGCACTGGCAATATCGATGATTCTTAACAGACTTCACACGCTTTATCGATATTCCAAAAGAAACTCGTACACTTAAATAACCGTAAGACAACGATTATCACGTTCGCGTCCACGTAACGCGAAACACGCGAGGTTGTCCGACGAAGAATCTCGCAATCGCTATTTGGCGGTTACGACAAGTCTGAACTTGTCACATTAGCGAATCGATATAATCGAACGGTCACGCTCCGCTCCTACGTCGCGTTAATACACATATACGCGAAAGCCTCTCCATGATGACGAAACGAGTTTACGTTACGAAACCGACGAAGAATGAGAGAGAGAGAGAGAGAGAGAGAGAGAAAAGAAAAATAAAGGCGAAATTCGTCGGAGAATATTACGCTGAAGGAATTCCTGGAAGACATAAACAAAGCGCTCGCGTGTCACCTAGACGGAACGTTCGCTTGTCGTCCGTCGGTAAAAACACTGCCCGTATCGAAACAGGCGGACTTTCAGGTTGAAGGTCACAACGCGGAACGAATGAAATAATGGACAGCACGTATAACGAAATTGTGTCGCTTACCTGATTCAGAGTCGTAGGAATGATGTCAGGGGTTTGTGGTAACATTTTGCCGGTGATCTGTGGTCGACTGCCCCTCGAGTCAAAACGATCTTGCAGCACACGCGATTGGTAGCATAATATCCTGACCAGAGAACGGTAGAAAACACCTTGACAGGATACACACAAGGATCGATCACGAGCGACTCGACACTAACCGTTTATCACTGACCGATTGTCTTGACGCACTACTCCTTTACCACCTGACGGTCTGTACGATCTCTTCGATAAAGTAAACCGATCGTTCGAATGTTCGTCGTTCACGAAAATACGATTGATTTTTTCCGCGTCGAGAAATAAGCGACGAAGCGAAGGAACACTCCCTCTCACCACGAAGTCATGCGCGAGACTGACGGGTCCGGGCGGTGTAGCTGCGGCCGAGCATAACCGACCGCGGACGGAAACAGCCGAACACCTATCATCCCCCCGAATACGCACACACCATGGTATTTCTGAAATTTAATCGCTATCGACTACCGATGAAGGAATTGTCATGGGTATCGTCGCTCCAATTCCTGCTAGATATTATAATTTTATTATTATTAGCCTTTTTATCGGTGGGAAAAGAAGAATATATCTTTCGAGAAATTTCGCGTGTGTTGCACGGGTAATTAGATGGCGCCAATAATTGAAACTTTTAAATCGATACCGCGTTTTCTTAACATACACTATGTATACAATTCGCGTAGAAATATTAATCGTAGTTGATACAAATAATTTCTAACCTAGCCTTTCCATAAACTTGATTACCTACAGAAATTTACCGCTACCACACATAACCTCAAATAACCAATCGAAAAAACCAAATTACGATACTCGCGTATTAAATTCCGAAGATTAAACTTTTCCACCGCAATGCTTATTAAAATTACAAAAAGATCGTTCAATATTACCCGTATTTTTTTAAATCCTACAATTTTTCCACAATTTCTCCTCTCCTCTAATTTCGTTAATTCGTGCACGAACTATAGACACTGCGGTGCAATTCGCTATCTCTGTAACCCCTGTTATTTTCCCACTTCTTTCATTATTCCATTGTCCTGTGACATTCCTCTCGGGTTAAGGACGCGAAACTGTGCCATTTCGTTATTATATTATCACATATACGTTTCTCTAGCTCGGAAATACAGCCTCGCGAATTAAAACCTGTCCGATACACCAGTCCACGGCCGCTACTGTACGAGGACGGTTCGTTCTACGAAATACGACTTCATTTCTGAAGGAAGGGGACACTGGTCCGCCATCAGGAGCTCGTTTGTATTCACTCTGTAATGGTTGCCTCGCAGGACGCATAATAGTCGTATCTAAAGAGTCGCCTTGCAGACGACAAATTCCTTTCTCCAGCCGCTTCGGCCATACATGGAATTTAAACGCCGCCTCCGCGAGACGAACCTTTGAAATTCGCGGAAACCTCGTTGAAAGATCAAACACTCTTGCTGACATTATGAGGGGTCGACGTGAAAGCGGCGAACCGGGCAAAGTGGAAGGACGAGCGTGAAACAGGACCACGAATCGGCGAAACAAAAGGGCTCGGTTTAAAAATATCGGTTACGTCAACTGGACTCTACTACCAGGGGGACCATTAAGTCGGTCACGTCGCCGAACTGCATTTAGGAAACTGTACTTCCAGCTGATGTATTACTTTGTAATAATTATCGTCAAATGTAGATCCTCGCGATAAATTCAGAATAGCTTGGAGGAACGATAATCTCCATCTCCATTCATTTAGGAAACTGTACTTCCAGCTGATGTATTACTTTGTAATAATTATCGTCAAATGTAGATCTTCGCGATAAATTCGGAATAGCTTGGAGGAACGATAATATCCATCGTTTAGGGATAAACTGGAAATTAGTTCCTTTAAAAGAGAGAAAATTTTGACCTACAACAAATAATTCTTCAAATAATCAGGAAGAATACATTGTACTGAAAGAAAAGGCATTAATTAATAAGCAGGTATTCTGAATTAATTTATCCATACTAATTTGAACAAATTAATTTCTCAAGAGAGAATTTGTGAGAATTGAGAGAATTCTATGGACAAATGTCTCTTGAATAAAAATTTGAAATACATACTATGGGTGGATGCTTACTTTTTAATAAGTAGTCTGGTCCTGGCTTAGCTTCCATTAATTGGTACCCCCGGGAAATATATTTTCTTCTGCACCTGAAAAATAAAAAGAAAAGTTAGTTTCAGGGAAAATACGAAATAATCGATCTTGTAAAGAACGGAATAAAATTTTCTCTTTGCGAATTCAACATGCATGATCATATTTCTTTCACTCGTCCTCTTTTCGAGTACATTTTCGCGCTACCGAACGTACAGTACGTGAATCCTTTTAAAACCCGGTCACACCTGTTTATAGTACGATAAGAACAGTGGTTGCATCACGAGGTATGAGTCAGAGGAGTAATTCCCATCGTGCCGACGAATTTCGTGGGCTGTCAGAAAACGAGTACTTTGTCGTGGCTAATGTATCGGGAATGAGCATAGCTTTTACCGAAAATGGTCTGTTCAAACTCTGTCTCGGACTATTTAATTACGATAACTCGTTTGAAATTAACTTGGCTGGCATTCCTCTCGTCATTAATGATCCCTTGACCATCTCGAGGTACGCGTCACGCTGTAGAAATTCGTTGTATCTACGCACGATAAGGCCCAATAGCAAACGATATACTGGTTAAAATAATTAGAAAAATTCATTCTACTTCACAGAGTATCAAAAGACTCGATTAATTTCCTCACACGAAAAATCCCGAGAAGTATATTTATTTATTTTCTCATTTAATTCCCATTCGATCTTCGATATTTTTATTAACTTTAACAACGTAGAGTCTATCCTGAGTTTAGGGGCTCAATGCACTCTATCTATAAATTCATTTCCAATCACTCGATATGTATAATTAATTGAACCTTTCAAATTCTACTTCTCGCTAAATAATTCAATACAGATTATACAACAATGGTATACTACAATAATATCCTACATAACACCACGTCACGAAATACGAATTAAATAGACAATGAACTACTCGATATGCATATAACGATCAATTTGATTAATGAGAACAGAGGAACGGTATCCCAGATTATGTCGCAATAAATCCAACAGCGAATGATCCAAAAACTCATTGAACTTCGTCCTTACCTTCCTTTCTCATCCGACCAACGATCATGATTGACCAAGGTTCGCCAGCTTCCTTTTTCCCCACACATCTCTCATTTCCCATTTGCAAACAATCGCTCTCAGCCAGATGCTTTACGTAACCGAGACAAAAGGTAAATTAATTACAGAATCCGCTGGGATCGATACGAATCCGCTTCCTACTGACTTTCTACGGCCTACATTTTATCCGCAATAGAGAACGGTATTATCCGCATCGGCGAGCCAACGACTTCCGGAATAATTCAGCGTCGAATTCCACGCGGCCACGGGGTAGGGGCCCCGCTGCTAATTCCAATGTCTCATTTACGTTTACGTTGCTGGCTGGTAATAGCGGCAGATACAGCGACCAGCCGATGTATCCACGGAAGAGCTGGCGCCGCGAAAGCTCTAGAAGGCTATCCATAAAATATGCTCGCTGGAATGAGCCGAACGAGGAGAAAGGAGCGAAGAGCGGAGAGAGCGAGAGGAAAATGGTAGCCCAGACCAGAGAAGAGAGAAGGAACATCTTCCCGACACGCTTGTCTTCCGTGGCCACCAAGAAACGTTTAACCAAAGGGAGCTCGTTTACACGCAGGGTGTAACGGAGGGACGTTAAGACAGAAAGAAAGATGGCAGAAGAAGCTGTTGAACAGTAACGGTCCATCGTGACGAGAATATCCGCGTAATCGATCGATCATATGCCATAATGTAGCTCAGCCGTATGACTTTTTCGTTATTATACCTGGGAACTGGAATTTTCAAATTCCAATTGTGATTCTGCGATGTGCAAGAATACATGGCGATGATTCTGGGCATAGTTGATGGAATATCGAATGGAAAGGATCGTCGAAAATAGATTAATAGGTGAATTAAGTAATTACGAAGTGCGAAGAACGAGAAAAGCAACGACATGTGCTGGAAGCTGGGAATAGTAGGAAAAAGGATAGAGATGCTAAGGAGAATCGAGGAAGAAAGGGAAAAGGGGGAAATGGAAGACAAGCGGAAACAGAAGGGTAAATAGAAATTAGAAAACAGATGGGGTACAATGCAACGTGAGAAGAAAGAGACAATGAGAAGCAAGGAAAGGACAAAGCCGAGGAAGAAGAACAGGAGAAATAATAAATAAAACTGAGAAATAGGAAGGGATGATACTGTACAATTTGTAATGTAGCTTTTAAGAAGCACAAAGAGAGAGTAAAAAGTTAAAATGTAATTAAAATCTATGCAAAACTGAAAGTTCGTTGTAATCCAAATACCAAGGACTATGATCAATAAATATATTTCGAATGGAGTATGACAAATAAATTGATAAATGAACCAATTAACATTCTACGACTATTCTAAATGATAGGTATAATTTTATAACACACCGGACGACTGTTATTATGCTGAATATTATCATTTTCCATATTTTTACTTCCTTTAGGATACAAGAGAAACAAACGAGCAGTGCCAGTTAAATAACCAAGTACTGGCTTGGTTTAAAAATTTTTCTCGACACAAGTTTCTTGCAGATGTGACCAAAAAGTAGGCTCAATTTTACAACCAACCGGACGAGTATTATTATATCGAGACACGAATCTCTTATTTAATAATTTAAGAGAAAAAGAACGCTCTATCCTCGATAAAGAATCTGGTAACTCGTGTATCAAATATTTCTACGATGCATCCAAAGATTATTCCCCAGAGCGAGAGGACACAGATTGGAAAGCTCTGTTTCGACGCAACGTGTCACGAGTTGGCCAATTATCAATTTCCTAAACTGCCTCACAAAGCTGCAAAACACGGCGAAATTAATTATTTGCGCTAAAATTCGAGAGGGGGCATACTGCGCAATACACGAGCGTCTCTGCTTCCTCGACGTTCGTCAAACGAACGGACATGTTAATTAGCTCTCACGTTAATTAACTCCGTGAAAACTAATTTCCATATTCCATCATCGTCAATTATACAAATCGATGTGGGGATAAAAATGGCGGAGCCGGAGGGGGAAAATAAACAGCGCTAATTGTAAGAAGTTACCTCGAGTAACTTCCTTCGACGATAACGACATTAGTACGGGAACTTATCAAGGTCTGCCTATTATCGGAGAGGGAGAAATGCAGGAAGAAGGAATTTGCATAGAATTTTAATGCCGTTTTATTAAAACGGGAAACGATCAAAGGGAC